GAAAATAATCCGTTATATTTTCAGTTTTTTTAAGACCTTTCGGGATTCTCTGGTCTTACCAGATTCATACACACCTTCAACAATTTGAAGACTGAAACTTCATTGGCTGTTATAATCATTACCAGAACAGAAAGTAAAATCGAGTGTTGTCAGATCCTTGCTACCTTAGCTTGGACACATGATTTGCATTTTAGTCTACACAAAGTACTTTCTCTCTCATTATCTTATATAAATAAATAAATATTCGTTTTAATATAATGTCACATATTGATTGACAAAATATTTACATATCACAGTATTCAATAATACAACCACTACCCAGTCAAAATTTGACTTATGAGACACTTAACACATGCTATATGTACATATCAATATAGTTTCACAATAAAATTCATAAAATTATCATCAAAAAAGTTAAAACATGTTTATATATATATATATATATATATATAGATTATTATTTTGTTTACTTAACAGAACAGTTTCATCTTTTAAATAGTTTATCCGAAGAAACCGTATAAATTAAAAAAAAACAACATTGGTTTACTGAAACAATTTATCAGTATATTTATTTTAAAAACATGGGGCTTTATAAATTCAAAGACTTTGAACATATCGAATATATTACTGTTTATATACTAACCTACTAACCTGTACAACTCATATCGACTCATGTTACTGCTTATATACTAACCTGTTTTGGTCATATCGACTCATGTTACTGCTTATATACTAACCTGTACAGCTCATATCGACTCATGTTACTGTGTATATACTAACCTGCACAGCTCACACTAGTAGCACAAGAATCTGTATAGTATTTTGTCGCTTTCTTGTCTGAAATAACAATTACAATTACACTTTAGATGCATCCAAGGTCTTAATTTGAAGACAACTGAATGAAGAAAGAGTAAACAATCTCACATCAAATAGACCATCTCAAAAAAGGCATCACACTATCAGTTACAATGGAAACAGTGACGAACAAAAAACTTTAAAACGTCCAGAATCACTGTTCGGTTACTGTTTTAAATATTTTTCAGATCGGGACGATATCTTGTTAACACACATGTCTATTGTTTAAGACCATTACTTTGACCTCTAGAAGTCGTTTGGTTTAAGTTGTTGTTGGATTTCTGTCGCATTGGCGTATACCTTATATCCCCCTTTATACATTGGTTTTCTAGGATGGAGCATAATTTGATTCTATAAGATTCCTTAGAGAATAAAACATCATAATTTATCTTTATTGCGCAAGTTAAACTGGTTTAACCAACCTCATGCTATGCATGGTAGCACGCCAGGTTATCAGTTTATTGTTTAGATGAGTGTTGATGGTTGTTGATGTCAGATAATTCAAAAATACATTTTATGGATTTTTAAAACTGGATTTCGTGTCGTGACCATCTTTTTTAACTTTATCTTGTAAATTTGTATATATAATCAAATATTAAATTAATGTTTAATCAGAAGAACTTTAATAAAACAACATTGTATATTTTTTGCAAACATTTTGATCTTTTCCAATTTTAGCTTTTGTACAAATACTTGTACTGTTATTAATTATAGTATCATTTTGACTTAAAAAAAACCCCTTAGAATTTAAAAAAAGATGTTTATGCAATGTTACTTACTTTGATAGGCAGCTGGTGAATTACAGATGGGACCTGCCGATCGAATAGAGTTCTGAGACACGGCCTGTAGAAATGCTAGGGAGGTACAAGAACAATCATACGGTATCCCGTCAAGGTTTATATCAGATAGACCCTTCAGGCTGCTAAAAATAGCACTGTCTAGAGTGGTGATAGAGTTATCCGCAAGAGATAAGTCGTCTACAGCCACTGCCAGATTGTAAAGTGAACTGTCAATAGCTGTTACGCCGGCGTTCTCTACACGAATCGACTTTACTGTTGTCAAAGCGTCAAATGTCCCGGCTGGTATGGAAGTCGGGGTAATCGTACAATCTTTAATGACAAGTTCTCCTTTCGGTTCTGGAGTTGTTGTCACGGGTTCCACTATGAGTCCAGTTAGAAAGTCACTTGAATATGAAGCAATGGAACCCCCTTCAAATCGCAAAGAATTGAGTGTTCCGAAAGGAGACAGCATACCGGAAGTCAACGATACTATGTTGCAGAAACTGAATGTCACCTCCTGGAGATAACCCATATCTGTGAAGGATACACTTGATAGCGTTAACGAATTTGACGAAGAACATTCCAGTTCGAGGCTTGCTGGATAATTGGCGTCAAAAGAACCAGTCGAGAAGCTGGAGAATCCTGACAATTGAGAGGTGAATGTTCCTGTAACACTTGTGATCTTCAATCTCTGTGGCAGAGGACTGGAGAAAGAACTATAGGCTAGAGGTGCAGTGTAGCTTCCTACAACACAAGTATATAGTCCGGTTGATGTCAATGTGCCATCGTAGGAACAGCCGGTGGGTTGAGCACTCGATGAATATTTGACAAGTAGAAGAAACAGTAGTACTTTCATTAAATTGTTGTTTGTTTTCATCGTGTAAAACTAAAAACGCAAGTTGGTACTACAAAAACTGACTTCAACTTTCAAAGAATGTACAGAAACATTTATGAATCCATATTTTAAATATGTCAATGGCTGCTCAGTATAAAAGTTGGATCTTAAAACTTGTGGAATATTATAGAAAGGTTTAGTCAGATTAACAAGGATTATCGTAAACTCATTATTCTAAATATATGTTATGAATTAGTTTGTTGTGTTTATCTTACAGTAAAAATGTTTGTCAATTTAAATATCGCGTTTATTGTTTTGTACATAAATTATGTCGTTAGTTTTCTCCTTTTAATTGTTTTGCATTTTTCTTTTCGAGCCCTTTATAGCTTGCTATGCGATATAGGTTTCGCACTTTGTTGAATTTGGTAACCTATAGATGTTAACTTCTAGGTCATTTGGTCTCTGGTATAGAGTTGATTCATTGGCAATCAAACCACATCTTCTTAATTTTGTAGCATATATTACATTTTATCAACAAAAAAAAAAAAAAAAACAAAAAAAAAAAAAACCGGATAAACACAAAATTAGTATCGTGTTTATCCAAAATGTAAAAAAATGAATTTTCCGTAAAACACAGTAAAAGGTGAATTGATTTTTATCTGACGTTAATTATGGCTTTATATTTATTTCGAGGTCACTTGATGAAACCGGTTTATTCCAGAGACGTATCGGTTTCAAATGAAGATGTATCAAAGTTTCTTTTGTTCATTATGTTGTTCTATTAAATAGTACTCTTTGGATGTTATCATCGACGACTCATCGCCTCTTATTCATACTACTTAATATATAACCAACAAAAAACCGGCATTTTGATAGGCATGAAAGAAACAAACAAACATTAAAAATAAGTATTCGTGATTTTTTTTTATATATTGTTCCCATGGATATATGCATCAATATGCTTATATTACTTTATGCAAGTAACAATCATAATCAGAAAATTTCCGTGAATCCATCCGTTTTCATAAAACCTCAATATTTGGATTTCATTGGAGGTTTTTCTCCTCGGCGACCACGATTTGTAGCCCTCATAGCAGTTTTCATTTTTGACCATCTATTCGGTTGTCTTCTCCTTGATGTTATTGCAGCAGTAGTAATTTGTCGTTTTGAATGACATATCATTGCCAAGGCAACACATGCGACGATCAGTGCCAGGCCTAGTAAAACGAATCCTACGATTTCTATTGCAGTATAACAAGACAGACCTACAATTAAATTTAAAGTAAATAATAAAAGTCTGCCACCCAATTTTATTGATTGCAATTTGAAGCATTAAATCGAAGATAACATTTTTCTAAAACTAAGAATTAAACACAACAGTTAAATCGCACCAGTATACATTGTATATTACTTTATTTGTTCATTGCTTTTTCCTTAACGTCCAGTGGCAAACATTTCATTCTTTCACGAAGAGAAAATATCTATCAGATACGTAAACCTTTTCATCAGTATGAAGAGCGGACAATTTGGACGACCACTGAAAAAATGGATTTTTGGGTAGAACAAAGAGGAGTAAGTTCGGTAAGGGCCTTTTTTATCTCGAATTTTATGTCCATTGTTTCAAAATATTAAGCGTTTCAAGTTGATGAATATACATGTACAAAGTGAGAAAAAATCCTAGGTCTATTTTTATGTTTTTTTTTTATATAATGCTTTGACTTTACACAACAAATAGGTCAAATAGAGATTTGGGGGAACGTTGACAAAAAGAGGCGGATGATACCAAAGGGAAATATATGGGGGCCTCGGTGGCCAAGTGGTCTATATATTGATCTACTTTATCACAAGCCTGTCAACACTTAGGATATGAGATCGAACCCCGTACATGGCATGTGCGTTCGACTCAAATCTTCCTTGAAAAGAATTGCTAGTTTTCCTGCCAAAGGTTAGAGAGTATCTCCGGTTACTCTGGCTTCTTGCAACAATACAACTCAAAGGTCTATATGATATAGTAAATAGTGATTAAAGTGGGGTTAAACACTAACAATCAATGAATCAGTAAACCGAACGAATATTCTTATAAGTCAAAGACAAACTGATGATTGCGGGGTCTAAAAATTTTGTGCGCATTCAATCCTCAATCTAACCTTGGGTAGTAGTGTAACAGTTCAGCATAAAATCAAACTGTGAAATTCAGTTGATCCCTCAGATCAGCACAGATCACAAAAAACAATTGAATGTGAAGGAAAACGAAATTTAGATTTACCTGAACAACTTGACACAGTAGCACAGGTCTCAGCGTAAAACTTTGTTGCCTTTTTATCTACAAAAATATAGAGCATTCTCTTTTATATACAACTTAAGATATTGATGTAATTTACCTCATTTTCTGATCAATAGTTTATGTTTTAAAAGATAATATATATAATTGCGAGTAGCAAGGCAACCTCAGTAAGAATCCAAACAGATAACTGGATATGAGACCAGTCTATTTAAAGTAAAATATATTTTTGTCAGTTAAAGCTCCATCACTATTTCAAAAGCTTATTTTCTAAAATTTTACGAATGCTTTTAAAAGATAAGAATTCAAAACTAACACTCGAATGATTTTACTAACGAATTTCCTTTTTTTTTTGGAATATAACGTACCTTGGTAACTAGCTGGTGTGTTACAAATCAAGTCAGACGGCAGTTTCACAGAGTTTTCATTAGAATACGTTAGAACGTCTAAATTTGAACAGGAACAGTCATATGCAAGTCCACCTAGGTCAATGGACGACAGACTTTTTATACTTGTGAAGAGGTTACTCTCCAATGACGTAATAGAGTTGTCAACCAGGGATATATAATTGAGCTGAGTTGTTAGACTAAAGGCTGAAGCATCAATAGCTGTAACACCAGCTTTATCTAATTTTATTGTTCGTATTGACGTTTGTCCGTCGAACACACCTGCGGGTATTGTAGTTGGAGTAATCGAACAATCCTTTATAATAAGTTCTCCCGTAGGTTCTGCAACAGCAAGTGGTTCTATTGTAACAGATGTCAAAAAGTCTGCCGAATAAGAAGCTATGGACCCGTGTTCAAATATCAATGAGTTCAGACTTCCGAATGGTCCCAGCATGCCATTTGATAAGGAAACTATGTTACAATAAGAAAATTTAACTTCTTGTAGATAACTCATATCGGTGAAGGTACTTGTTGTAAGAGTTATCGAACCTGACGTTGTACAGACTAGGTCGAGGTAAGCTGGGTAATTTTTGTCGAACAAACCAGAGGTAAAGCTAGAAAATCCAGAAAACGCACTTCCACTGGCTGGTAAGTTTCCGTTTAAATTCGTTATCATCAGTCTTTGTGGAAGAGGACTTGAAAATCCTGAGTAAGTCAAAGGTTCGGTGTAGCTTCCAAATACACAAGTATAAATCCCCGTTGATGAAAAGGCGCTGTCATAACTGCAACCGGTTGGAGATGTTCCATTTATTATTTGAAACAATAACGTAAAGTAGAAAGTAAATGGAAAGAGTTTCCAATGCCTGATCATTTTAGACAACAACACAGATATAATAAAGAATAACATTATAAAATGTAAACTTATAGGTTTAATCTCTTTTGTCCAGTCTGCAATTTATTTTGCACTTTAATGCGATTAAACAAAACAAATAAATTTAGGATTAAGTATAAACGCCGTTTATGCATTTGGTTTGAATAATTTTTTTTATACCATTAGATACATGCCTGTCTTACCATATAATTAGATACATATAAAAATAAGAAGATGTGGTATGATTGCCAATGAGACATCTATCCACTAAAGTTCAAATGAAGTTGATGTAAGCAATGTCTTACCATTAGATACATGCCTGTCTTACCATTAGATAAATGCCTGTCTTAGAAAAAATACGAAATTTAAAAATCAAAAATGGATGATAACAATTACTGTATAAAATAAAATTGAAAATGGAAATGGGGAATATGTCAAAGAGACAACAACCCGGCCAAAGAGCAGAAAACAACCGAAGGCCACCAATGGGTCCTCAACGCAGCGAGAAAATCCCGCACCCGGAGGTGGTCCTCAGCTGGCCCCTAAATAAAAATGTGTACTAGTTCAGTGAAAATGGACGTCATACTAAACTCCAAGACATATAAATGAACTAAAATTAAAAAAACATACAATACTAACAAAGGTAAGAGGCTCCTGACTTGGGACAGGCGCAAAAATGCGGCGGGGTTAAACATGTTTTGTGAGATCTCAACCCTCCCCCTATACCTCTAGCCAATGTAGAATAAAAAAAAAAACACACAGCGATACAAACAGTAAAACTCAGTTCAAAAGAAGTCCGAGTCCGATGTCAAAATAGGTAACAAAAGAAACAAAGCAAAATGACAATGATACATTAATTAACAAAGGACTACTAGCAGTTACTGACATGCCAGCTTCAGACCTCAATTAAACTGGTTGAAAGATTATGTCTTCATCATATGAAAATCAAGTACAATCCCTCCCGTGAGGGGTTTAGTATCATACTATCATAAAATATATGAGAAGAACATAACCCGTATCATGCCAACAACTGGTTTTAGAATAAATGTGTTTATTTCCGATGCAAAGACCCTATGAGTGAATCAATATTAATACCAAAATATGCAATCCTTAATGACTTGACAACAGTATCGTAACTGTATCCCTTCCGAATAATTCTGTTTAAGGGTTTGGTTAGCTTTTGAGGTGAATGCCGACATTTTTGGGCTTTGTATAGAATATTACCATAAAAGATTGGATGTGAAATACCTGAACGTATAAGATGTCTGCATGTTAATTCATATTTACATTTTTAATTTTGGATGTAACACGTCTTCTGATTGGTTGAAAGTTTGTTGTCTTCGCGGGTTATTCAGTGTGCACCACATTTTTGATGTTATTTCTTCACAGACAGAAAAAGATATTACAGTCATTCCTTGAATAAAATATATTTCTCATAAAAGTATCTATTATAATTTATGAATAAAAAGTAATATTGGGTATTTGCAAATGAGGCAGCAATCCAACAACTCAACATACATAATTTAAGACATCTAGTGTTATAAAAGCTGTTAATCCCCACGAGTCTAGAAAAGAACTGAATAAGAGTAAACTATCAAAGATATGCCGTCAACACTAAATTACCAAAAAATGAAAAGAAAACCCCAAAATCATAAGATATGACACTAGAAGACGACAGACACTGACGTAGTTCCTGACTAGATTTTCACTTTAAATCACAATTAGAGATTGATGACTATTGAAATCACGTTTATCCCACTCGGACCTTGGATACCACTTATGCAGTTGAGCTTGCTTTATATATCAACTTACATTTAGACAAAGAGTTCACCCTTATTTTTTGTGCTGTTTGTGATACTCAGTATTCAGTTTTATGTAGAGTGCTTTGTCGTTTTGACAATGGGATTGTGTGTTTAGAATTTCCCTGTATATCCATTTTACATCATATTGTCTATTTTGTTAACGTGAGCTTTTGCCTCTTCATCCGTTTTCAAAACTCTTCTTCTCTGAACCTAAATCTAGACAGAACAATTCTTAAAGAGAGGCGAAAGAAACCAAAGAGACATTCAAACCTATAAGTTGAAATAGATTGACAACGCCATGGAAAAAAAAGAAAAAGATCAAAATACAAACAACAAGGATTTTTTTGTAATTTTTATATAAAGGCAATAGTAGTATACCGCTGTTCAATAGTCATGAAACAAATCCGGGTCACAAACCAAAACTGAGGGAAACACATCAACTATAAGAGAAAACAACACGGAAAACAGAAACACTGAACTGCTACAAAAACAAACGCCAACATACATAGAAACGGACTATGTGATAATAACTGCCATATTCCTGACTTGGTACAGGACATTTTAAGAAAAAATGGTGGGTTGAACCTGGTTTTATGGCTAGCCAAACCTCCCGCTTATATGGCAATATTAAAAATACCGCTAAAATGACATATTACGTGATAAGAATACAGTACGAATAAATGCAAGAACATTCCGGACAGAGAAATACATAAATAAATAATATAACAGTACATTTCAACATGTAAACCACAGAATAACAACGAACACCTAAAATTAATTTACGACAGAACACAAATACAGCACAATAGAATAATGAACTGTGCGTCACACGAATGTATCAACGCCACAAAAAGTGACGTCACAGGTAAATTTCTAAAAATAGAATATAAAATTTATGTTTTGGTATGAGCGTTCCTAATGAAGCCAAACCCAGAAAAACGCTTCGGACGCATCAAATTTATGGAGAGTTATTTTTGTTTTTGTATAAAGTTTCTGGGTGTTGTGTTCTCTGACCACCTAACCTGGTCGCTCGTGAAAAATAGAAAGTTATAGAGAAATGCAAATAATTATCTTTATTTTGATATGTGTAAAACCGTATGCAGGTGTAAAAAAAATCCAGAATGTTAAGATCTGTTTACATTTTCTATCAATCTAACTTTTAAGACGACTCCATATTTAAGTTTTTGCTAGTAAATGACAATTTTAGACCAATGTTAGCTAATCATTTTGAATACTATCACTGACATACAGAAACCGGTAAAAGAATAAATATATCAAGCTAAACAACCACAAAATTCCCTCAAAATTTATTGTTCTTAAATGTTGTTTGTATAATAAAAATCTTAGCATTTTTCTGATCTGATTTATCTAATGAAAAAAATTAAAACAGTTTGGAATTTGGAAAAAAACTAAAAATAATACATTGAATTGACAACAATAGATAGCAGAAAAGTGCGCTTCTACACAAAGTTGAGTTAAATTTTAACAAACAGCAAAGAGTTGTCTCATTGGCAATAATACCACATCTTTTAATAGGAAATCTTACTAGCATCTCAAGATAGGCGAAATCGGAATAGACGAATATGCAAGTACTCTCAGCTTCTGTACTTTGTGTCTTTTGCGTTTTTGTTAAGTTTTCTTTTGTGCGTTATATCGATATGGTGAGTTTAGCAATTTTCTACTGGTTTTAACAGTTTGTTCTGATGTTGTATTGTTACACCACCTTCCAGCTTAAGGATGGTTGGCGCCAGCAAAAAAAAAAAGCCCGCATCATTTTGTATGTGCCTGTCCCAAGTCGGGAGCCTGTTAATCAATGGTTGTTGTTTGTTGCTGTATAGCATATTAGGTTTTCGTTTATTGTTTTATTCATAAATCAGGCCCTTAGTTTTCTTCTTTTAATTGTTTTAGATTTGTCATTTCGTGGTCTTATACAGGTTACCATGCGGTATGGGTTTTGCTCCTTGTTGACAGCCGTGCGATGACCTATAGTTGTTAACATCGACGTCATTTGGTCTCTGATGGATAGTTGTCTCATTTGCAATCATAGCACATCTTCTTATTTTTATATCGTTATTGCTTGTTGATGCGTTAGGTTTCAAAGATATCAAACGCAACATTTCCGACATATATTTGTACTAAATGTTTATTCAATATATGAATAATATTTTGAGGCTCTGAAATTTACGAGTTCTCAATAATAATCGTAATTGCACTTTGGGGATGATACTGTAGAGAGACTTTAACAGAGATCTTTCCCGATACTTTTGGACAGGAAAGTTGAATAGACGTTACCCATATAAGTATACAACTAGATCTGGGAATTTTCTTTAACTTGATGTGAAGATTTCATTTTTGATCCATGTTGAAGGCCCTACTGTAACTATTAGGCAAGGATCAGCAAACAAAACCTTTGGTCTTTTTTTTTTTTTTTTTTTGCAACGTAACTGCAGGCATTCTGTGTGTTAGTTTAGTACATCAATTCCTACTTTCATTCCTTTTTATCAGGTCTTTATTGGTTCTATAAAGTTGTATAGCTTCAATTTTATCTGAAAGGTCTGTGTTTAAAATAGTTTTCTTTTTAAACGATGTAGAACCAGTCTTCTAATTTTATATCGTATTGACCTTACGTGAAATATTTGCTACTGGACATTAAGCAAACATCAGTCAATTAATCAATCGAAAAAGATATGTAAGCTGTAATAGATCAGTGGCTATGATGTTGAGCATTTTAATACTCTTTACTTTGTCTGAAGAAGTCAAATCTGGAAAACAATAAAGACTGAAGTTGCATTAAACTAAACAATTGTACGTCGAAATGACGTCGTAGTTCTCTGTTTTATGTCAATTTTAGATGTTTTAAAATCATTGCAACAATTACAATCATCATTTTTACTGTAATTTAACTTGGATAAAAACAGAAAGTTTTACCTTGCAACAGGCCTCCTACGGACCCAGATGATGTTGCAATGGGTCTTTTACGTACATGCCTCGTGTAAAGAGAGTGAAAAGCCCGTTGCAAACCCAAATTTCTTTCCCTATCCAATATAACTTCATTTTCCAGTGGCAGTTATACTTTCATTTCGGACGGCCTATGATACAGGACCTACCTATTGTATTCATTTTTAATTTTCATGAGCTATTTGCCACTGGACTTTAAGTAGCTAACAATCAATCAATTTACGAGGAATCGGATATAACGTCTCATTCCTAACGGACGTGGCTGCGTATTTATACATTCCGCGCAGTCAAACGAATGCTTAGCTTTAGCAAGGGTTATCCAGAAGACCAGATTTCTATGCGTAGGCAATGACCCTGTTGACATTATCGATGTTCAGTATATAAATTGCGTGATTAAATAAATGTAAAAAGACCAGCAGTAAAACCATTGACAAAATGGGATGTCCGTTTTGTCTGTGCCGGATGTTTGAATTCGCAGCCACGTCGTTCAAAATGATGACGTAAAATCCGATGCCTCTTGAAAGAGAGACTCTTTGCACTTGAAGAACACTTACTACAACGTTTTATATATTCTTTCCCTATCCAGTATATCCTCATTTTCCAGTAGCATTCCAAATTTCGAACCTTTTACTTTGGCTTTCTAATGTTACTGTAAAAATAAATACTTTTTTTAGAAATATTTCATAGATTAATGAGGCGTCGGACTATGGAGTTGTTGGACTATTGGGGTGTCGGAATATCGGGCCTGCCCTTTCTTATATTTCCTGTACAGATAATGTACACAAACTTTGTCTTGCGAATACCCTTTATATTGTATATGCATACCATGCAAATAAACTCATCAAAGATGCCAGGATTGAAATTTTGTATTTGCGCCAGACGCGCGTTTCGTCTACAAAAGACTCATCAGTGACGCTCGAATCAATAAAAGTTAAAAAGGCCAAATAAAGTACGCAGTTTTTATTAACCAATCTCAATGATTAGATATTTGTCGATTTATACCTACATTTGTATTTCGTTCGAAGCATGACACCGAATACAGTCCCCATATGTAGCATTGGTCACGGTGAATAACGTAGTTGGTTTTCTCGTTTGAATCGTTTCATTTTGTCAGCCAAGTGCCATTGATAATCTATATTATGTCATGTCGTCGTAATTTTTAGCTTTCTATGCGGATTGGGGTTTGCTCATTGTTAAAGGCCATATAGTGACCCTTACTTTCATTCATTTCATTTAATTCTGTTTGATGTTTTGGCAATCATACCACATCTTCTTATTTTTATATTTGCAATAAGAAACAATTCTTTCAAAGTAACATTTAAATCCCCTCAGCTTTCTTTTAGAAATTTCAGTTATTTGTTCATAATTGTTTGCATGCCGTTTGGGTGTAAACTGTTAAATAAAGTATAAACTAAGTATAAAATAAAATTGCATTTTATTCAGAACTTTTATGTCATGTCCGTGATTTATATTTATTCAATTGTCTTTACGTAACACTGTAAAGGAAGGCAGTGTTGTTGATATTTGCCACAAGAAGTTTCCTTTTCAGTTTATCAAAGAAGATAGCAGAGGGCTGACAGAGACCATCCTTTGTAGTCAGGATTTCCTTGTGGTGTTTTCGATCGTTTGCTATGATGACCACGTTACTCGATCGTTCTCCAACAACGTACACGTTTCCATCATTATCTACAGTGATGCCTGTTGGACAGTTTAAAATAGAATCATCTTTAAAAGTCCAAACACGTGTTCCATTGAGATCACAACAAACTACACTGTCACCGTCGGTAAAGTATATATTATCGGTAAATACAGATACGTAGGAATAAGGCGGTAAGTAACAACTGATCACTAGAGAAGTAGTATCATCCAGAGTATTTACTTTATATATACCATGTCCTAGAACACAGACAAACAACGAGTCGCTATCACGTGCTATACCGTATGGATAACTAGGAAGTTTGATGAATTTTATTTTACTTTGGTTCTCTATGTCTATCATATTAATACCGGTTTCGTTCTGTGAATATCCAGATGTAATAGCGACAGTTGTCTCATCGGTAAATGTTAAGTCAAACCCATGACTGGGTTTAAGAGACATGTTATATTTGAGATTACCGTCTGACGAAATAACTATCAGCCTTTTATGACAGACATGCTCAGTGAAGAAAAAATCGCCATTTAATGACATACTGCAACCTCTTATTCTAATATTCTCACGTGTTGTAACTTTCTTCTGTAGAATTAACTTAACATTTTCAATGGATTTTGACGCCGTTACTACTTGTAACTGTGCTTGATTGTCTTTCATTCTGCTAAAACCGATGTTGCTAGCCCGCTTCTCTATTTCAATTGATCCAAAATTCTTCAAACTGTTCAAAATACTATTCACCCCGGTGTCTACATTACAGAATAGGTAGAGTTGATCAAAACTTTTTGCATCTATCAAAGACTGCAGGTATTGCTCATTTTCAAAAACCTTCTCCTCAATTTCTCTCATTCCAAGAAATGTTTGAAGGTCGGAAGCATACTGTTTGATGCTTTTGACATTGGCCTGACATTCAGTTATCCTGGTTTCCTTTTCTGTGACCGATGACAAAATCTTCTCAATATTCTTCTTACACTGACTTCCCTTATCTTCGATATCTTTAATAATTTGTTTTTCAAGTTTATCTAAATGTTTGTTTATTTGAATACGTATCTGCCTAATTTCTGCAACATGTTTTTTCTTCATTTCTTGAATACTAGCCACATTAGCCTTTCTGTCTTTCTTTATTCTGTCAATGTTTTTCATTAAGTCTTCCAATCTGATCTCTAAATCTTGAAATTGCTCGGATGTTCTGGCATTATTAGTGACGTCCTCAAGTGGAATGACCGTGCATTTCTGATGGTCTGTGATGCATTTGAAACAAATCGGTAACACGTGTTCAACACAGTATTGTAAATACTTTTCATTGTGATAGACACATGATTGCTGTATATCAGTTATGAATGCCGGAAGTGACCTGTAGTTTGAAATTGGTATGGGTTCGTGAGTTCGGGTGGCTTTCAGTAATTCATGATGTTCTTTACACTCATCACAAATGGCTTCTTCACAATCCGGGCACCAGTGATTTGATCTTTTCGTTATCTGTCGAAGTGAACATATACCACAAATATTTGTATTAGTGGCCATGGTGATATCTGAAAAAAATATATATTTGAATTGAAAAGATTTGTATCACAATTTGTTTTCAAAATTAGTGTAAATTATAATACTCCACTTATTTGTTTTCTGTTTAATGCAAAAAAATGTTGTACGATTGATTATGAAATAATTATCCACCAGAGTCCATATGACGTGGATGTAAACAACTATAGTCATCGACCGTACGACCTTCATCAATGAGCAGAACCCATAATGTATAGTCAATAATACTGTCTTGACATAAAAAAATGTTAAATGAGATAACCAACTTAAACAGAAAGTACCAACGACAACAATTGAATTACAGGCCCTTGAGTTGAGACAGACACATTAAGAAGCATGTTTATGAGCGCTCTATATCCCCCTCTAGAACTGGGATAGTGTTGTGCATTTACTGATTTTGTGTCATGGATGGATACCCCATATCCTTTGTTTTTCTTTTATAACATCATAACATACGAACAAACTGTAACTTGAAGCTCTAAAGAACTTGCGTCGATGAACTGGATATATTTGCATCTTCGACAATGGACGCTCATAGTAAACTAGGATATGTTTCATGACTAAAAGCCCTTTTGTTTATCTTGTATTTGTGGTTTTATACTAAATGTAGGTCATTATTTTAAATCAATGAATATTTCTCCCTCATGCAAAGCTCCGATTCCTTGTCTGAATTGTTTTGTCCTATTTGTTTTTATAAGGACTTAATTCTTTCAATTGGTTTTGGATGAGTTTGGCCTCTCGCATCACTGAGGACTCATTTGTTGTCTAAATATGCATTTAGACAACAACAGATGAGGCTTCAGTGATGGACGCAATCATTTTTGATATTTAAAGTTTCTGTTTATCTTTTATGACCTTTAATATGATTGTGAAACATGCTACAAAATCTGTTTGAGAAAAACAGCTTAACTTAGCAGATTGTTAGCGGAAGTACATAATAACAACTAGCATAAAAACAAAAGACACAAAAGATGTAAGAGTATTCACAGTCAGAGATAATTAGTTCAAAGCCAAAAACATATAATAAATAACTCATGTTCTCGTTGACGTAAATATCAATCAGTATTCATCCAAAAGATTTAGTATAAAACCGTCAGAAACAGCCTAATGAAAGTGACCATGTGCATTTAGGTTGTTTTACTTGTTTTTAGAAATTTTGGGGCTTAGTTTGTGTGTATGCGTTCGTGTTAATCTATTTAGGTTTTGTTTTAGGATGGAAGGACGGTTTGTTTTGTATAATATGTTTTATTTAATTATTTGTGGGTGTTTTCAGGAGTTTGTATTCCCGGTGGGATGTAAGTATTCCGTTTAAAAACCATGGCAATAAATATAACGACAAAAAGACAAACAACAGTTAACAAAACACAACAGACAAAACTAAAGAATGAGCAACCAAATCAATATCGGGGTTAAACGCATGTGCTCCAGAAGGATAATCATATCCTGATCCATATGTAACACTGTTGTATTACTCAGGATAAATCCCTTTCGATGATGTCACACTGGAGTCAAAGGGGACGGGATTGTGACTACGAAAAATGGAAGATATATCAGTGGTCATCTATGATATTGATATCCAATAGCGGTTAACCAACTCATGATGGTGTCTGTAAAAGTTTCGAAGGTATGCAAATAGTTATTGCTTCTTTTTACGGGAAACATTATCTAAATACATGTGGAACTAGATGACCAAAAATGACCTATTATTTCTTCTTACTTCAACATTAAGGGAAGTTGACATACGATAAAATTATAGGTCATTTTTATCAAATAGCTCCACACGTATTTAGTTATGTATTCGTCAATGGCTTGCAAGCATTTGAGTTAGGTCGTTCCTATCGAAGGTAAATTAAGAAAATTACTTCGAAAGAAAGCAATTTATAAAGTCAAATGCATAATTTTTGCAGTTTTCTATAGTCCATGTAAATACCAGTGGCGGATCCAGGGGGTTTTCGGGGGTTGGAACCCCCTTTTTTGACGAGCAATGCTTTTGAATGGAGCCATATGGATGGAACTCCCCCTTTTTATCTTGGGTTGGAATCCATTCTTGTAAAAATGTCGTAAACCAAGACAATCTCTTAACTTATGAAATTGTGCATTACTTGAGTTATTCAGTATACTTTTATTATTTGACATATTCCCATAGAATCATAAATATAAATTGAGGATTTGTTTATCAATTGTGAGATTAAGAGGAAATTGTCAATTATCTGAGTTGAAATATATATGCATTTGTTATTTCTGTCAGAAATATGAGTTGTTTCAACTTTGTACTATTTGTATAGCATGTTGTAACCCGTTTTTGTTACATTCGGTAAACATTTTAGTCAAATATTTTTTTAAAATACTGAAATTTTGTGACACATTTGCTTTCAAAAGTAGTAAAATGATATATATAGGTATCAACATGTATAATCTTACCTGAAATCACTAGTAATACATTTTTCTAAGTAGTAAAAATAGACACAGATATTCATAACCAGGAAGAAAAAAGGTCACATGATACAATAATATACAAGTAATAGCTTTTCTAAAAAGCTTGTTTTATAGCTTATTATGTTGAAAATTGTTTTTGGGTGTTGTGATTTTTAATCGCTTAATTTTTAAAAATCATTTGCGTGTTTGCCTGTATTAATTTCAGTAAACTTTTTTAATGGATTAATTTTTCAGCAGACATGTCAATTGTTTACTCTCTGTTTGTTTGTTTGTTTGTTTGTGTTTGAGCAAAGTGTCATCAATATTTTTATTATTATCACGAAAAACCAACTCGCAAAGTTTTAGATCCTGATGAATTTTTATAATACAGGAACTAATTGTCCCTATGTCCTACTTGATCATGTTCAAGTAGTGTATAAGGGTACATAGTTTCTGCAGAAAAAAATTCAAGGAGTAAATCGGCTTAAAGTCCGTTTTAAAAAAATCGACAGTTTGGCAAGTGATGAAATTAAGTAAATACATGTGTGACTTCTGATTATCGTTTCTTTCTGTCTTTGTTTTGGTCTTCGATGAGTCAACCCTTTCAGCCAGATTTTGCAGTTAGTTCTTAAATGTACGTTGTGTTTTAACACCACTGTCCCATGTTAGGGGTAGGTTGTGCGACCGCCATCTTATTTTACCTCTCTAAGTTCGCTGTGTGCTTGTACCAAAATTATGAGCCTTAATGTCATGTTACCTTACCTGTATTATTCGTATTAAGTCTTATTATTTTCCCCTTTTAGATGTTGACAGTTTTTTCATCATGACTTCACTGTATCGTGATGGGAATTTGTGTGATAAGGAATTCGACACATTTCTAAATCAACCCATCCCGCTTCTATATTATCCTTTAGACCTTTATATCTGTTAGTCCCAGTTTAGACCCGGGATAAATGAACATTAAAATTAATGGGAATTAAGTCATTTGAAGATACCCGTTTTCAGATTTTGTTTCTGCTTTTGAATTGTACCGATTAAAAGATACTTCTTAATTTGTTTTTAATTGTTGTTAATAACAGACAGAAACATACGCGATCCTACCAACAAATGTTTTTTATGAACGCAACATTTGAAAATATTCACGACAGTAAGTGACTTGACATAGCTTAAGGATGTTCGCTTCTCTGTTTAAAAAAAACAAGCTTTTTAAAAGACTGTTATGAATTGATAGTATATAAATAACGGAACATAAAAAGAAGAGAAAATTACAGGTTCGTGTTTTAATATTTTTATTTTTTACACCATAAGATGTATACTTGTCAAAAATGCATCATAACAGTTACTGTAGCCAATATATTTTTAATATATATATTTCTTATAAAAGTCATGATTTCATTTAATTATGAATAAATAAGATTTTGGGTATTTGCAAATGAGACAGCAATTTAACAACTCAACACACATAATTTAAAAAACATTTAGCTCTTTACATATGGGAACGCTTTGAATATTTATTTATTTATTGTCGTTCATGTTCAGGTCTTCGAGAAAACATTTCTACATCAACCCATCCCGCTTCTATTTTATCCTTTAGACCTTTATATCTGTTAGTCCCTGTTTAGACCCGAGATAAACGAACATTACAATTAATAGGAATTAAGTCATTTGAAGATACCCGTTTTCAGATTTTGTTTCTGCTTTTGAATTATGCCGATTAAAAGACTATCAAAGATCTATCATCAACTGTAAATTTCCACAACATGAAAAGAACCTCCCCCCCCCCCCATGTCAGATATGACATAAGTAGACGACAGGTACTGGCGTAGTTCCTGACTAGGTACTAGATTTTGACTGTACATCACCACCAGTGTTTGGTGACACTATGGCACAGATATAGTTAGGCTTGCTTTTTATATCGACCTTCATTAAGTCAACGACAAAGAGTTCACCTTAAGTTTTTGTGCTGTTGGTGATGCTCAGTATTCAGTTTTATGTAGAGTATTTAGTAGTGTACAAAGGGGAATTCTGCGGAACTTTCAATTATAAAGTAGAAAATCACCAAAAAGTGAAAATGAAAGTAGAAAACGTCAATTCCAGTCGTTGAAAAAGTGAAAGTGAAAAAAAAAAAAAATAATGACGTCACTTCCGGTCGTTATAAAAGTGAAAGTGAAAGTAGATCATTTGAATCATAATGACGGCACTTCCGGTCGTTTGAAAATCACGCATACGTCAAACATGGCTCAAATAGGAGAAAGAGCGGAAATACGAAAGTAAAAGTAGGAAAGGGGTGGTTCTCTCAAATAGGAGTTAGAGATAGTGAAACAGGTAAGAAAGTAGAAAATTGAAAAAATACCTTAAAGAGATGTGTTAGTATAAGTAAGAATACGATTGCTTTTTTACAAGTAGATCTTATGAGTGACAATGTGTTTGAGGATAAGGTAAAGGAGCAAAATCAAGAGACTCTAAAATGGAAAGACCTCCCCACCGGTGTCATTTACCAAATTTAAGAGAGTATTGAAGTAGATGGTAAATTTGGCAAAAATTGTATACTCACCTTGAAAACTATTGAAGGGGACACGACAAAGGTGTGCGCTTGCAGTGGGTTAAACAGAGAGAAGTAACCTTTGGAAGAAGCCTTCGTGAGAAGTACAGATTTTGAAATAAGTAAAAAGAGTAAACTAAAGTTTTTCTCATACGATCTTGTTAGAAAGTAAATCTCTTACTCCTAGTCGAGAGAACAATCAATTATCTACTTTCACTTTCACACCTCTTACTCCTAGTCAAGACAAACAAAAACATTTAATTTTTAATCCAGCTAAACACTAAATTAAAAATTTTTATGATTGTGGTGGTGTGAAAAAAAATCCATCATTACGAAGTGGAGTAATGTGTGTGTAGTGAGTGATGATGGAACTGTTTTTCCTTACGGCGCATGCGCAGTAAGGTCTTTCCTAGATTGTCGTAATGTTTGCTTTTCATCGTAGTAAGAGTCTAAGCATGTAACAATACCTGTAACAAAGTTGAAAATTGAAAAACAATACCTTAAAGAGAGATGTTGGTATAAGTAACAACTGATGTCACGGAAGATGCATTTCTACGGGTAGATGGTTAATGACCCTTGCCACTATGGAAAAACTGAGATTTCTTAGATCCACATACAACACAGATTCCACCTCTCCGTCGTCGTCCGTTGCTAGTCGTATTTTCGGAGAGACTTTTCGTTTCCGTTGTCCTCTTACATTTCAAACAATAGAGTGTCATTTTATTTAAATAAATGGACATTGAAGATATCTCATACAATGAAACGTCTACGAACAGAAGGAATCCCGTTTTCCTTCCGCAGCGATTGATTAGAGGATTGATTATAGGAAAGTCAGACTGTGGTAAGACGACATTACTCAACAACTTTCTCCTTAAAGATGAATGGTTAGATTACGTTGTTTGTATGTGTTTGGAAAATCTCTTCACCAACCCATCTATCAACTGTTGCAAAAAGCATTGGGAAAAGGGTTCTAAAAAAAGGATATACGTCATCTCTTATCCGGTAAAGAAAAATGTCCTTACTCTTTAATTGATGCCGTAGAAAGTTTACTTCCACCTGAACAACGATCTTGTATTGATGCCTATTTCTATGAACAAAGAAAAGATGTACAGCCCTTGGATGGTGTAAACTTCTCAAAAAAACGTGTATGGTGTAATGGTGTATGGCATATGGTGCAATGGTAGAAGGTGTAATGGTGTAACGTGCGATCGGGAATGGTGTGAATGAATGGTGTACGACATTTAAAACTATTCAAAATATTGATAAGAACTGATTTTTAATTTTATACATTAACTTACAATACTGTGATCAAAATTCGTTTTTTAAAATAAATAAATAATTTTGTAGTAGCACACTTTCTTTGAAATTAAATTGCATTATGGTGTAATGTGTGAGGTGTATGGTGCTAAGGTGTAACGTGTATGGTGTAATGGCACAGGGTGCATGGTGTAATGGTGTATGGTGAATGGTGAAATGGTGTATGGTGTTAGTGGGAAGTTTACACCATCCAAAGACTGTACCAGACCATAGAAAACTTGATCCCTATCGTAAGAACTTAATGGTGTTTGATAATTTGATGTTGAGTAAAAAAACAAGTGTGAAAATTACTACATTAGAGGTCGATAAAACAAAATGGCTTGTTTCTATCTATGTCAAAATTACTTTATACGTCTACGTCAAACGATTCGTGAAAATAGTAATTCCATCTGCTTATTCCCACAAGACGCTAAAAATCTTCAATACAATCATCGTGATCATTGCTCAGATCTCACCTTTGAGAAGTTTAAGACATTGTGCAATCACTGTTGGCCTGTACCGTACGGATTTGTTACCATCGATCTGACTAGTCCTAAGGAAAATAGAAAATACAGATTTAAATTAAAACAGTTTTATGTCGTTTAATACTAAAGAATGGACCTAGATTTTAAACCTTACTTTGAAATGTTTAGTCATAACAGCGATAGTAGTAGTAGCGATGGTGTTAATTTAAGATATTGTCGTAAACATAATTTTGAACGTTTTAACGATAGAGTAAACAAATGTTTAACATGTGGTGTTGAACAAATCTACCAACGATTTGTTGATGCTGATGATGATGTCGACAATTGGAATCTAGAAAAAAACCTATCATCGACAGAAACCTCAACAACCACAATGTAGTGCAAAGACGACCAGAAGACATCAATGCACTCATGAGTGTCAACCAAACCAAGATCTATGTCTCAGACATGTGTGATGTTAAATTTGATGTATGCCTTTTGTGCTTCTTCGTTACATTTGTTTGTTTTTATAGTGATTGAGATGATAACACAATGTTGACTGTTGTACCCCTATTTTTGACATGTTTACCTATTGTGTCTGTTTGTTTTGTTCACGCATCGTTGTCAATATAATGGAAATTGATGCGACTGTCATACAAGTGAGAGGTTTAGCTAGCTATCAAACCAGGTTCAATCCACCATTTTCTACATAGAAAATGCCTGTACCAAGTCAGGAATATGACAGTTGTTATCCATTCGTTTGATGTGTTTGAACTTTTGAT